TAAGAATTTCCAAAATAGAGGCTACAGAGTAAAGTAATCACATTTTCTTTGAATTTTCAGGGGTTATTATAAATGTAGTACAGTAAAAGGATGCCCAGCAAGAAAACACGTGGAGAGGGCAAGTGATGATCCGACGATGGTGATCGTTACATACGAGGGGGAGCACGGGCATGTGCAAGGCGCAATGCATCAGAGCACTGCTCCAATCATTGATGCTCGTTTTGACTCGAAGTAAGGGAGAGTAGAAAAATATAAGAAAAAGAAAGGACCATTTTGCAATTTATAGATAGTTGTGGGGGTTGGGCTTTCATGTAAATTACCGTAGTCATAGAGGGCAGAATTGATCAGGAATTGTGAAATTTCTACGCATATGACACGTGTCATTCTCATATTATACTTCATTTTACCTCAGTTTGGTGCACATTTTGGGATCAATAATGCATTTTTCTTTTTTTTGATGTGACGGGGAATATATGGTTGAAAAAGAGGGAAAATTTATTGATATGATGAAAAATATTATTTAATAGAAAAATGAAAATGAAAAAAATAATTTGATTCAAACAGTGGCTTAATTACCTTTTTCTAGAAACGTCTATAGTAAAGACTTCATAAAGACTTGACCAAAGTCTTTCAAATAGATTGCAATTTAAATGCTATATATTCATAAACAACATAAATTTTATTAATGTGTTTAAATGCTATATATTCATAAACAACATAAGTTATATAAACGAAGTGCAATATGTGAAAAAACATTTGTTTCCTTAAATGTTCATAGAATACAAAGTGGTACCTCATCTACCTTTCATGCAAAGAGAAATCAAGATTGCATATGTTTTTCACTTTATGATCGAATAAGAATTTGCCAACATAATGAAGTGTAAATTGGGTTTGTCCGAGCCTCATTTTTTGTGATTATAGATTTTTTAATAGTGATTTTTTTTTCCTTAGAATATGTGATTAAAAAATAGGAAAATATTTTTGATTTACGTGTAAAAGTATTTTATTAAAAAAAAATGTGGTTAAAATGAATTTCAGAAAAGAGAGGTTTCAAATCTGGGCTGATTTTCTTAAATAAGAAAATTATTTCAAGGTTAAAAATCTAAAATTTACATAACAATTATGTTTTGTGTCACTTGGTGTTTGGCAAATAAAGAGCAAGACATCAATAAAATTAACACTAAGAATGTGAATATTAAGACAAATGTCACTATAATTTTAGATACAATAACAAATGAAACCACGACAACAAATGTCATCTTAATTGTATCATATCTTCGAAAATTACTTTGATTTGGCTCCAAATGTGACAACTCGGTTCACATTCTTTAAAAAAGAATTCCCTTTTTTTTTTGGGGGCATAATCTTGTATTGTTACTGCACAAAAAGTTCTATCGGACATTAAGATGACATTTGAAAGGCTCGTTCCAATCGTTTCTCATTGAATTTTGTTTTCCTTTTAATTTTCACCATTTGTATGATCTTGATCCAAATCTGATTCAAACTTTTGATTCTCCACTCCACTCTTTACTGTCTCACGTAGCCAGTTTGAATAGTTGTCATGATGTTTGCAAATAAGTTTACTCATTATGAACCTGTCATTAGCTGGACCATGTTGAGAGTTGGATTAGATTCTTGATATAAAGTTTAAACCAATCGAGCGACTCATAATTCCTTAAAGAAGAGAAAAAGAAAGAAACAAAGAAACAAAACAAAGCATTTTACTGTCAAGCACTATGGCACGATCCTGGAGCGAAAATTGTTAGGGTTCTTTTCTCTCTCTATCTCTTCACGCAAACACACACTGATTCAGTCCGATTTCACTCACAGAGTCGGGCGTGATCTCTGATTCAAGAACCCTTCATTTTTACTTCGAATTTTCTGTGACGGCGACCACCCTTTTTATATGACTTCGCGTCGATTTGACTGTGAGTTTTGTTGAATTTGTGGGCTTTTGTTATTATCTCTTTTTTGGTCGAGATTTGGGGAAGTTTGTGATAGAAAAGAAATGGAAGTTCATTATTTACAAGAACTCAGATTGGTTTTAGTATCTTTTATCTCCTGAAAGGAAGGGAAAAGTAAGAAATAAGCGCACAAAATATTCAATCTTTAAATATTATATGTTCTGTTTTGAATCGTTTATGGTCAGATGTTTGAAAATTAGAAGTGGGATTATTATTTTGGTGATTTAATTTTATCTAATGGATAAAGGGGTTGAAAATTTGCTTTCTGCAAGAAAGCTGTTGAAGGCTAGTGTGGAGAAATCAAAGGCATTGGGGTTATCTTTAGTAAAAACTGGGATCAGATTAGATGAGATTAGCCAAATATTACCATCTTTGGAAGTCTCGGTCTGGCCAATAATGGCTCAAAGGAAGGCCCTTGGTATAGTTGGGGGTCATATAAATCGAGCTGTCGTCCCAGCGACTGCAGTTCTTAAGGTTTTTGACGCCATTCATGGACTTGAGAAATCATTATCTGATCCTCAATCTGATCTCCCTGGGTATCTTGGGGTGCTTAAGCGACTTGTGGAGGCAACCAGGGTCCTCGGAGACAATCGTGGGATAGCAATTCAATGGTTAGCCGATATTGTTGAGTACCTGGAGGATCAAGAAGTGGCGGATGACGAGTTTATATCAGGTTTGAAGAAAGCACTGGAGTGTCTTCGGGAATTGGAGGTGGGGGAGGAGAAGGGTCATCTTGATGGGGGGCTTCTCGAGGTTGCTTTGGACAGGTTGGAGAATGAGTATCGGCGGCTTTTGACAGAAAACAGTGTTCCATTGCCAATGTCCTCACCAACATCGCCAGGTGAGCAAGCGTGCATTGCACCGTCCCCTTTACCGGTGGCTATTATACAGAAGCTGCAGGCTATTCTTGGGAGATTGATTGCAAATAACAGGTTTGACAGTTGCCTTTCCATTTATGTTGAGGTTCGGAGTTCAAATGTTCGGGCAAGTTTGCAAGCACTTAATTTGGATTATCTTGAGATATCAGTCTCTGAATTCAATAATGTGGCTAGCATAGAAGGTTATATAGCTCAGTGGGGCAACCATTTGGAGTTTGCTGTGAAGCACTTGCTTGAGGCTGAGTACAAACTTTGTAAAGACGTGTTTTTTGAGAGAATGGGGTTGGATGTTTGGAAGAGCTGTTTTGCTGATATAGCTGCCCAGGCAGGTATTCTTGCATTCTTACAATTTGGGAAAACTGTAGCAGAAAGTAAAAAGGATCCTATCAAGCTATTGAAGCTGTTGGAAATCTTCGCAGCCTTAAGTAAGCTAAGATTGGATTTCAACCGGCTCTTTGGTGGAGCAGCCTGTGCTGAGATCCAAAATCGGACGAGAGATCTCATCAAGAGGTTGGTTCAAGGGGCTTGTGAAATTTTTTGGGAGCTTTCAGTTCAAGTTGAATTGCAAAGGCATACTCCACCTCCCCCAGATGGTAGTATTCCAAGAGTGGTGACTTTTATTACTGATTACTGTAATAAGATGCTTGGGGATGACTACAAGCCAATCCTTGCTCAAGTTCTGGTTATTGAAAGAAGTTGGAAGCACGAAAAATTCCAAGAAGGAATCCTTATAAATGAACTTCTGAATTTAGTTAAATCTATTGAGCTGAATGTGGAGACATGGTCGAGGAGTTATGAAGATGCTGTTTTGTCCTATATATTCTTGATGAACACTCACTGGCATTTATATAAGCATCTGAAAGGCACGAAGATTGGAAACCTATTGGGCGACTCTTGGTTGAGAGAACACAAACAGTATAAGGACTACTATTCTTCTCTATACTTGAGAGAGAGCTGGGATAAACTTCCTGCCTTTTTAAGTCGGGAAGGTCTGATTTTGTTCTCTGGAGGGCATGCAACTGCCAGTGATCTTGTGAAAAAGAGATTAAAATCTTTTAATGAAGCTTTTGACAACATGCATATGAAGCAGTCGAAATGGGTTATTTTGGACAAAGATCTGCGGGAGAAAACGCGCCAGGTTATAATTCAGACTATCGTGCCTGTTTATCGTAGCTACATGCAAAATTACGGGCCTTTGGTTGAACAAGACCCTAGTGGAAGCAAATATGCAAAGTATACAGCTCGGTCATTGGAGAAATTATTCAACTCTCTTTTTCAGCCGAAGCCAGTGAAACAAGGCAGTTTAAGAGTGAGGCAGTCAAGTGGGAAATTTAACAACGGCATCGCAGATCAGCATCAAACTTCTCCAACTGTGAAATGAACGCGTCCTAGAAATAATTAAATTGCATGGTTAACTTAAAAGAAACACTTATAGAGTGCTTTCCCATATGATGATTTACTATCTTCTGTATATATTGACTCTGGGAGGACCTGATAACCAACATATGTGTCCTTTTCAGATTAAAATACTAGAGTCAGCAAATTGGTTGGTTCTGAGCTTAGTTACCTAAATTTCTGGTAAACTGAACCGTCTCGACTTCCAAGGCTTTAACGAGGCGTTCTGTACTTGAAGCACCAACTTTATGGAGAGTCAATTCTTACTTCTGCTGTTGATTCAGATCTGTAGAGGAAATTTACAGTTAAAAGCTATTCGTTTTTCACATATCTCTTTGATTTATTTTTAGGTAAGTAGCAGTATAAATTCCTACATCTTCTTATCTGTATGTACAATTACTTTGGTACAAGTTGCATCAAGAGCTAGAGTAATTGTTCAATAATCTCTCTTCATGATTCGGGAGAAGACAAGAAGATATAAATTGTATGCTTGTACTAGAAGTCTAAAACCATGACGAGCATATCCAAGGAACTCTTTATTTATAAAGAACATATTATGTATTATAGAAATCATCTTTTAAATTAGAGATTCAAAATTTTTATACATTCCAACAAACTCTCTATTTTGGCCCTTCACTTTACTTTTCTCACGAAACATTTATTAATTTCTCCACACATTTTATTTAAATAAATTTTTATATGTCAAATGACCAATTAATTTCAATGTAGTTTGATTAGTTTAAGAATTAGGGCGTGTCTGGGCGCACGGTTAATCTAAGTTCGGACCGTTAATAATCAACAATTGGACCATTGCTTTCTTTTTTTATTCAAGCTAATCTAACAGCTTTTTTTTTATTCAAGTTAATCTGACAATAAGTCAGACCATAAATCTAGATTTTCCCAATTTACCCCCCTCCCCCCATTACACGCCTCAAAGTTGCAATAATTTGAGGTGAGAGAAATAAGCAACCTAGAGATAATATGGTAATTCAATGCCAATTTTAATATTACCCTGCAAGAGTTTGCTGTCCAGTGGGTCCGTCTGATTTGAGAGGAAAATTGATTTTTGATTCTAAAATTGCGCCAGACACGCATTTAGAATATTGAAATATGTGATTTATTAAATGTAATCATTGTACATTAAGAATAAAAAGTGAGTTTGACTTTCTAAATTTGAAGAGTCAAACCAACTCTCTATTTTAAAAAGTTTGAACTCATTTTTAAGCATTGACTATTTGAAATAAAGATCATTTTGTATTTAGAGANTGACTATTTGAAATAAAGATCATTTTGTATTTAGAGAGTCTATTGAGGACGTTCTAAAAATTTGGAACTGGATTCTCACTTCAACAATAGGATAAAATATCTCATCATCTACTATTACATTACTATCTTATTGTCGATAGATGTGTGCGCACACCATTGGATCATTTTTCTCATTCGAGAATCCCCTCCCTTCTTCCACTCTATCCTGAAGACTAACTAGGACATTTGCGTTCTCTTTGGTCGGGGTCGGGAGATGCTTTCCTCGATTTCTTTCGTATGGTTTCATCAGTTGATAAAAGTTTCGATTTGTGTAGTGTGGCTATAGAATGTGTGACATTGGAGCTGACACAAGTTTTGTGTTGCTCAATGTTATATTCCATTAATGGGTGATTGTGGTTTCTTCATTGCCAATACAGTTGATTTTTTATTTTTATATTTTTTTGTGTGTCACTTACTTTTGACTCATGTTTAAAAATTATTCACTTTTTATTTATATATTTCGAGGAATTCACAGGTACTACCGTATTATCCATCATTCATTTTTAAACTATTTATGAGCACTTTCTAAATATACTCTTAGAACTTGCAAAACTATTTCTATATTCAAATCGCCAATTTACAAATGATTATAGAAGGATTTTTTCAATTCTCCCCTGAACTGAAAGCATAATGAAATAGGTGGAGAGGATGTTTTCACTGAATTTTTTTTTTTTTCCAAAAAAAAAAATTTTAGTAAGATTTCATTGTGGTTGCCGAACTTTAAAGTTTATTTTATTAAAAGAATATGTAATTAAATATGAAATTGAAAAAAATAAAAATAAAGATTTGAGGTTCAAACATGGATAAAGTAGAAAGGAGGAGTTAAATGACTAAAGGGAAACTATAACTTTGTATAGTTTTACTCAAGGGTGGGTTCAACCGTTCAAGTGATTAAATATTTCGTTAGTCACTTAGCTTATATCTCTGTCACGTTTTCCTCATTGAACTTTAAAATGTCTTGGAATGATCATTAAATATTTAAATTTTAACACTTTGCACTCTATTACCCACTCATCATGTTTCATAAGTCATTGAATTTTAAAATGCTTATAAATAGCCATTTAATATGTTGCACTTCATCTTTCACCCATCATATTTCGTTAGTCACCAAACTTATATATCAATCATGCTTTACACACTAAACTTTAAAATATTTCGAATGGTCATTGAACTTTATAATATTTTTGAATAAAGTTGATTTTCTATGAAATTCGATCTAGATGAAATACAATAAATATCAAATAGATAATGAGAGTCTCAATCTAAGACGTAAAAATATTAATATTGATCAAAAAAATATAATTTCTTTAATCATCAAAAGCTATGTTGAAGTGAATAGAAGAATGATAGCTTCATATTGATATAAATTTTAATTAGTGGAAATTACACCAAACCCTAGTATTAAAATTCTGAATTCTAAAATCAGATGGAAAGTTTAACATTTCAAAAATTAGATATATTATCATTAAATTTATTATAATTAAATATATTATCACAAACCCTAATTATTTCATCCAATTCAATTACAAACCCTAAAAATCTATTTTCACTCTAACTTCACTCCCTCTCTTCCCCACCCTTCCGTCTCTCTCCTTGGGAGCACGCCGTCGCCAGAGCACCACCTCCAACGAGTTGCGGTGGTGAAATGAAGTGGCGACGACGCTCTGGAGGTGGTGGTGGCAGTGTTTCTGCATCACGGCGCTCTGGAGGCGACGATTCTCTAGATGTGGTGTAGCAGTGTTTCTCCTTGTAGATCTACTTCTTCAATCTCGATTAAAACACTGCTCAGATCTACCCACTCCGTCATACACCGATCTAGAGGCTAAGTAGATCTCCTTGTGGCGGTGGCAGTGGTGGTGGTTGTGGGTGGGACGACGTGGGTTACGGATGTTTGTTGGTGGTTGTCGTTGTGTCGTCCAGGCGGTGACGGCAGTGGTGGTCGTCATTTTTTGTTGTAGGTGGTTGTCGTGTCGGGGTTTTGTAGGTGGTTGTCGTGTCGAGGTGCAGGTGGCGTCGATGATGGTTTTGTAGTTGAAGATGTGGTTTGTTCGTTGTTTGTATGTTTGGTGGTAATGGGTTCTGGTGGTTGTTGGTGGCGGTATTGGTGGTGGTGGTATGGTGGTGACGTCGTCGGCCACCGTGTGAGGGTGGTCGCAATTGGCAGTGGAGATATTGGAGGTGATGGTGGTATGTGACCCATTAGTTGACATGTGACCAGTTACCTGTGACTTTTAAAATTGGATAATTTGTGACATTAAAATTCGAATTGTGACTCACAATTGATTAAGTTGTGATCGAAAAATTAATCTGCTGCTTATAAAATTTTTGATTTGTAACCGAGAAATAAGTTGTGACTAATAATTTGATAATACGTGACCAATGAAATAAATCGCGATCTATAAAATTTTTGATTTGTGATCTCAAAATAATTTGTGACCTACAAAATTTTTAATCTGTGACCGATAAACAAATTGTGACCTATAAAATTTTTGAAATGTGAACGTAAAATAATTTGTGATGTAAAAAATTATGATTTGTGATTGAAAAATAATATGTGACTAACTAAATTGTGAATCTGTGATGGTCACCGGAATAGTCGTCAGAACGGTCGTCGGAATGGTCATCAGAAAAGTCAATCGAAACGGTTGTCGGAATAATCCCCGGAGCAGTAGGGGTGGTGGAGGTGGGGTGAGGTGGATTAGTTATATTATATTATAATTAAATATTTTAGAAATGAAATTTTCCCTTTTAATTATAATTTTCACTTACGTCGGGAAAAAAATAGAATTTTTTTTATTATTATTTTGATTGAGATCGTAGACTCAAATCAAGAAAATAAAAATTATAACTTAAACAAGCAGTGAAATTTTCGATTTAGAGTCAATTGTATTTATCAAGACTAACAAGATATAATTTTAAGAGTTGTGATAAGGTATTTAAGAGGAAAGAATGATGTTATCTTTGTGCATAGTATTTTATAATTCAAAATTTTCAATTTTTTAACAGTTGAATTTAGTGAGTAAAGTTCAGTGACCGTTCAGAAGCATTTTAAAATTTAGTGAGTAGGGCGTGACAATAAATTTAGTGACTAATGGAACATAGTGAGTTGGTGATAAAGCACAACATGTTAAACTTCAGCGGTCACTAAAAAATATTTTAAAAGTTTGGTTACTAATAAAATATTTTAATTACATATCTTCAATAAAATAATATTACTTTTTATTATTTTTTAACCACACATTCTCTATCAATCTATTATTCCAAAATATATTCTACACTAAAAATGGGGTTCCAACAGATATTTAGTAAAAATATTTGTTAAACTGAGCTTTATCTGTGGGGATTATTTTTTATATTTTGATAAAAGTTAATAGAACGAAAAATTGTGAATTTCATCAAACATATGATTAAAAATTATTTTTGATCTTGAGTTGAACTAAAATTCAAAGTGGGACTGAATCAAGATCCAATTTTTTATTTGAACCTAACTGTCAATTCTTGATTCTAAGATTTTAGTTGAAAAACCAGTTCAATAAACACCCGGCCAAGTTTTAGCGTTAAAAAATTGCGCAACTTAACTAAAGCGCCAGTTGTCCGTGGATATACCGCAATAGCATACCGCATTATCCACACACCAGCACCCCGCAATCTCCAACAGGCGGCCGAGTATAGCTTTGTGTACCCATTAACGGCGGCTTCTTGATCAACGTTAAACATGCAACAGATTCTGCTACAAATCCCACCTTCGGTTGGAACTTTGCGAATCCTACCATCATCAACAACACTCATTCGCTGCACAGGAAAACCTGAATCGGTGCGCAAGATGCATCAAAGAAAATTGCCCAAAACGCCGCGCTTCCCTTCGAGGCTTAATCACAAGTCACTCACCTCCCGAATCGTTCAACTCACTCGCCGCCGCCAACTCACTCAGGTTGTGTTCTTTCTTATAATCACATGGTGCAATAATAATGAGTTTATTATTTGCACGGGCGATGTATAATGAATGTGGGACTGTCAATTCCAATTTGAAACATTAGTTAAATGGTTGAATTTAAAAATCTGATGTAGTGTATGTTTGAAAGTATATCACAAATTTGATTTGTTAAAATTCCATAGATTGCTAATTGCTAATTTCTAAAATGATAGTAATTTCGACGAGAGCTTGAAAGTCAAAGAATGAAGATCATTCTGTTTCTTTCGTTCAAATTCTGATTATTGCAGGACTGCTGCGGCACTATCTTTTCTTTAAAATACAATTCTTGATTGTACCCACCTTGTATATGAGCCTTAGTCTCTTGTTATTTATTGATTTTTTTTACTTACGTAAGAAAGAAAGATTGATTACAGGACTTGCATTTTCATGGTCCATTGAATTCAACCTGAAATATATATGTAAATTCCTCCAAAAATCTAGTACGCTGATTTGCTGCTGTCTTTTTTGAAGGCGAGGTCATTGATTAAAAACCTATCTTCTTGTTTAATTTGAACTTTCTTAGTGCATAGGGAAAGTAAGCTATTTACCCAGGTGGTTAATCAAATACACCAGCCATGCCGGCTCTGAGACATCAAAAATACAGGCAGAAGAGACACTTAAAGTGGGAAAGTAGCAACAGTTGTGGTCTAATGGAATGATAAGATTTTCCATGATCAGTTTCTTCCAGTGGGTTTGCTTTGTGCTAGAGTTGTTTTCCTTTATTTCTCTGTGTTTCTACATCCCAGTGTCTTGTTTTCTTTCTCTCTTATTTTTGTCCAACTAAAAAATATTTGGAGGATTGCAATAACCATTTCATTTCTACCTCAAGCACATATATTTGCTCATAGTTATAATAATTTCTGACATGCTTTATGGCTATATTGTTTGGTATTATTATTTACATATTGATATTAAGTTCTTATGGTGATTGATTCATTTATGCATGGCCAAGGGCCAAGGTTAACGTAAAAAAGTTTGCATTGATATCCTTGGTTCAGAATTTCAGGGTGCAATTTTTTTTTTATTGTTTGGTCAGAATAAGTTGTATATTATATCCTGCTCTCATTTGGATAACTTATCCTTTCCATTTAATTTTTCTAGATTTTTGAAGAAATTGAGATTGCAAAGAGTCATTATGGAACTCTGGGCACGATTGTGATGAATGCGGTGATGCAGGCTTGCATTCATTGCGGTGACATAGATTCAGCTTTAGAAGTATTTGGTGAAATGTCAAAGCCAGAGGGCTGTGGGGTTGATAATATTACATATGGCACACTTCTGAAGGTAAAAATCACTATTTAGCTTATATTTTGTAGTGATTGAATGTGTTGAGAATTAGATTGTGTCATCTTCCATGCTGAGAAACTACAGATTCTTATCGCCGTCCACAGCATTAATGTTGACCTTCAATTATAAGGTTGCAAACTCGTTTTCTCATTATTTATTATGTCATTTTTTCTTCAGGAAAACAAGTAGCTTATCAAGAGTACTTTCGTGAATACTAGTTAGGAACTATTTCTTTTTATAGATCCAATATGTGTTGAAGCTATTCCTTGAGTGTTGGCATGCCAAAAGAAGCGTACTCAGTCAAACCACAGTCATTTAAAAGTTGCAGCTTACTTGATAAATTGTTAGAGGCCGAAGGTATATATACATTTGAGGTATGTGACTCCTCATAGATAATCGATCTAGTTCAGACAACATTGGACCTGTGAAATGTTGCTGAAAAGAAGTGGACAACAAGAAGAATAATGTATATCACAGTGAGGGTAGTAGGAGTGACCTATTAAGCATCCTTACCTATTCCATAATTTGCCTTGCCAGCTAAGGCTGACAAAAGATGAGATGGATATTCGTAGGGGAGGCTTCAACAATCGGTTGATGGGCTGGAAAGCACTTTTTGGAAAATAAAAAGGGAGATTTTCTTCCAAGAGAAACTCGTTTTCCGTGGGATCAAATATGATGGACTAAATTACAATTGGTTAAAGTTCATTATTTTATGGTCTTTGAAGGAGTGAGGCATAGATTGAATGAATTTAGATCCAAGGTGTGACATTGTCTGCAGAAGAATCTTGAAAGATTACGGAGTTGTTATTCCCCTCTTTAAAAAGTTAACTTTGATATATATTAAGTGCCTGAGATTGACCCTGCTTAAATAGGTGACTCCGAGTGCTTGCAAGCTACGCAGAAGCACCCATCATGATTGCACCATTTGAAGATATACTTCCTGGAGCTGGATTTTGACTGTAGATACTATTATCTACAGTCTACACTAAGAATAAAAATACTATTAGTCAGAAGAATGTGATCTGGCCATATGTGGGTTTTCTTGGACACCTAATGAAACTTAGGTGTGATTTATATGTCAGAGTTTAGGGGAATTCTAACTGGAGATAATGATGGGAATGGAAATCATTTGTTCTCCCACTTACTCTTGTCAAAGGATAGCATAAACGTATTTGCTCAAATATTGTGCTCCATTCGTGATTCTTTTGCATGTAGTGGTCTTTATCAATGGAAGCTCCCTTAAAGTGGTTGAAAGCAAAAGAGATTTGCGAGATTTGACTGCTAGTATAAATTGCATTATTTATCAGGATGTGAATGAGTAGAAAATTACATAATTCGCTATAGCTGATAACCTAAGATGCATAAACTCAATCATATAATTTGAGAAAGCGAATATTTTTGAAGTGTTAATTGAAGGGAGAGTTCATATTCTGATTTATGGTGCACTTTTGTGATCCTGCTGATTTTGAGTTCAGACTTTTCAGTATGTATATAATGTATAGTGAAACCAACTTCATTAAATCACAAAGAAGTTACAGTTCCATATAAATATATTTGCTGGATAATGGTTAATGGCACTATGGAAGAAAGAAAATGTATGAAAAACAAATGTTGAAAAAAATTCTGTCATTCAGCCTCAATTGGGTTGGATGTCTGATGATTTATTGGCTGTTCTCCTCCATAAATTTTTACCCGCATTCAATTTTGTCAATGACCTCAGGATCTGCCAAACCTTCTTGTTAACCTCGCTTGATAAATTGCTACTTTCTAGTACTGTTTTCTAAATAACTTTCATTTCTTTTTTCCTGTAAAAGTGCAATGTTGGCAAGATATGTGATGAGATAATTTTAACATGTTTTAGCATAAATTTTGTCAAGGGTTTGGGTAATGCTCGGAGAATTGATGAAGCATTTCAAATGCTTGAATCTGTAGAGAAAGGGACTGCTGTTGGAAGTCCACAGTTATCTGTGCCAATGATTTGTGGTCTGTTGAATGCTCTAATTGAAGCAGGTGAGATTTTCCATTGGAAGAATTTCCTCTCCATTTGCATTAATCAGTTAAATATCAATAATTTCCACTACTATCTTATTTCTTCCTTCATGTCTTCACTAACTGTTCAATTACATTAATCGTGACATGTTTATTTTTCTTAGGCTAGACCACATTTTCAATTATTCTCTTTCTATATTTATATGAAGTTTTTCTCCGTAGGACTAGTCATGCATTTGCTTACTGACAATGTCTCTTTGTGAGGAATGATCTAGTGCAGGGGATCTGCGCCGTGCCAATGGTCTTCTAGCAAGATACAGTTACGTGTTTCATGAAGGTGGAAGTCCATCAATCTTGACGTACAACTTATTGATGAAGGTGATTTTCTGAACAGATGTTTATTTGGAATATGATTGATGATGTTATGATTTATCATCATTTGAATATTATGTGGGTTATGTACAATAGTTTGTTTTCCTGAAATCCAAAGCAGCAAATAAATTATTTCATATATCTTTTGATGTTTTTCACTTATCAGGGATATATAAGTGCTGGTTGTCCTCAGGAAGCATTAAGAACACATGATGAAATACTGCAACAAGGATTGAATCCCGATAGGCTCACGTACAATACGTTAATCTTTGCATGTGTCAAGATGGAAAATTTGGACGCCGCAATGCTATTTTTTGAGCAAATGAAGGTCTCATAAACTATCTGAATGGCTATTAAGAACTTAAATAATGAATAATATGAATTGAATTGAATGTTTATGTGTTATTGCAGGATAAAGCACAGAAAGTTGATGATGAAGATATTATTCCTGATCTTGTTACCTACACTACATTGCTGCAGGTCAGTCCAATATGTCAATTTACTGTTTGAATCTTTTGTTTGAACCTAAGCAGAAAATCTGCACTCCCTTTATCAAAAAGTAGGAAAAAATGTGTTCTTTACCTCTATAACCAAGTTACCATTAAATAATTACATATGCATCAAAGTTTTGTTTGGCTAATTAATATTTAACATTTTCTTAAGCAAATCATCAACTCATCCTCATTGGGTTTTTAGGCTCTACTAAAGATGGATGATGGGGGTTAGGATGTCCCAATGATAAGATATATGGAGGGGAGCGTAAACCTGACCTCCAAAAATGCAACAAATGTAAAGAAAGTAATGTACGTTTAACATCAATGCATGTTGCTGGATTTTTAGGTTTATGTCTCCCTCACATTCTTAACGTTTACAGAAGTTTCCATAACTAGTCATTTATTATGCTATTTTTCTCCTGATAATTGCCAGATACTGTCAATCTTAATGCAAAGTTATCATGATTGTAGGGTTTTGGGCGTATCAATAATCTCCCTTCAATAAAGAAGATCTTGATAGAAATGAAAACACGCCCTAACTTTTATATCGATCGTGTTGCATACACTGTGATTGTTGATGCATTTCTAAATTGTGGGTCAATTGAAGGTATGATTTTTCTAGAATTTATTAGAAGTTCTATGATGAATAGTCATGAGATAGATCTGCCTTCGTATCCAAACAAATGGGATTTCTGGCTTATTGTCCATTAAACGCTGTAAATTTATTCACGAAGTATTGTCAAAAATTTGTTTGTGTCTGACATGGAAAATCCAGATAAAGTTATTGCGTTGTTGGACCTGAAGAATTTTGTATAAAATATTATTGTTCTCTGCACTGAGGTATTCCTTATTGCACCAAGAAATCATGATTATGAAGATCGAGTATATAATTTGCCTGGATTTGAAAATTTCTCTTCTTGATTGAGCTATGTCAATTACCGAAAAAACATAGTTTCCCCGGTATTTTATCTCATATTTTTTCGCGAACCTAGTGTTGAGCTTCTCTATTTCAACGAGATACCAGTTGGTGATTGTTCGAGAAAGAGGTTATGGTCCCCTTGATTGGTTCTAATTACAAAACTCCTTTATGCTGGAAAGTTATCTTAGTAATTGCAGTCTGGAAACAAGTTCAAATAGTTAGTTACATTTCAGCCTAATATGTATGTAACTGTGATTGTCGTAAGGAGACCAGTTCCATTTACTTTGTGTCTCTTTGGGGGGTGATTGGGTGGGTTGTGGCTGAGAGCAGGGGGTAAAACAGTTGATTGATCAATCAAGGTCATGATACTGTTCCATTTTCTGTGTCTTTTGTTATTAATGGTCAGCTTATTTATGATATTCCAAAGCTTAACTTATTAGGATAGTATTACAAACTTGTAAACACATTGATTCCATCAATCCAAATGCTAAGGGCCTAAGTCATGTTATGTCATATCCTGGATTTTAACATGTATTTTGTCAAGTCAATAGGTTCTATATGGTTTTCTTTTTTTGTGTGGTGGGTGGGTGGGGCTGGAGTGGAGGCTTTCTTCACATTTCTGGTTAAATTAATACAGAAAATATCTATCATTAAACATGTAAAATTCTGGCATATGTCTCAGGAAACTGAACCTTAATTCGGCTCGCTAAAAGTAATCCTCACCAAATATTAAATTATTTAAGGAACTCAGGGAAGAACAGGCTTCCAGTTTACATCTTGTGAAAAGGTTTTGCTGATATATTTGCTTGTCTGAATTTTCATTCCAGTTTGATCCTGGCATCTGTAATACAGTCTAATTCACTAATCTGTTCTGTCTCTGCAATGTGCCTAGGTGCTCTGTGTGTTTTTGGAGAGATTATAAAACAAGCTGCAGGAAACCGTGGCTTGAGGCCAAAGCCTCACCTCTATCTGTCCTTGATGCGTGCATTTGCAGCTAGGGGTGACTACGAAATGGTTAAAAGGCTACGTGAACGTATGTGGTTAGACACAGTGGGAACAATTTCCTCCACAATGCAAGTGGAGTCTGATCACCTTTTGATGGAAGCAGCTCTAAATGAAGGCCAGGTATCAAATTGACTTGAGAATGGTGCCAAGCACTGGTTTATATCTCTGTACAATATTCTTCTAGATTTTTTTTAGTAAACGAAATCCTTTTTTCTGAATTCATTATGACTCAAAGAATACTTCAGAAATTGTATATACCAGGCATTGCCGCATCGGGAGAAGATTTCCTCACTCAAGAAATTAGATGAAGTAAAGTGGCCTGTCACTAGGATCTTTTTTTTTTTTTTGACAAGTAAAGAAACTTTTATTAAAAAAGGTCCCAGTATATTAGAAAGTATACAAAAGGACAAAGAAATCAAAGAGTACAATGATCCAACAAATCTCCAAGAGATCTGATGGAAAGAGAACCCAAGCCCTTAACCCACTCAAACAATAAATAAAAGAAACTACTCTTCAACTCCGGAACGGAGGTCTCAGTATCCTCAAAATGTCGAGAGTTTCTTTCCCTCCAAACGCACCAAAACACACGGTGGGGAACAACCCTCCACACCATAGAAGTCCTACTACTACTTCCACTAGGCCCCTGCCAACATGAGAGAAGATAAAAAACTGTTCTATGCATGACCCACTGGACTCACTAGGATTTATGTCGACAGAATACGATAAACTTTGAACAAATTGAAGACATCAAAGAGGATTTACCTGTATCTTACAACTATGACCTTTCATGGATTTGTAAACAAGAGTCTCGGACCTTATATTCTTTTGGTAGAGGAGTGCAAGAATTGCATGATGTATGAAGGGAGGCTGATTGTGTACAATCAGTGTTTTGGTTACTTGTGTTCTAATGGGACTACAATATAATAATAGAAAATACCAGATGCCTTTGTCATGTCCCTCATTAGCTTGAAAGTGAATTTCATGATTGGACAAATTTATCACACTATGGTTTTCAAATAATCTGGAAAGAGTTATCTTCTAAAGTTAATCAAGAAAAGATTCAAAGATAATAATTGATAGAGTTACCATCTAGGACATCCTTTTAGTTTTATTAGGTTATTTAAGTGAATACACTGATCCCAATTCAGCGACTCGACCCCCTAATGTATATTGGTCAAAACTTCATAGACGATGAATCTTTTTGTTGTTCTATTTTTCCTTATGAAAGAAATAAGATTGAGATTTGGGTCATTGTTAATCATTTTGATAGAATATTGAATTTAATCTTTATCCTTAATCCTTTGAAAGTTTCGATTATCTGCCAAGTCACGGTTGGTTGCTTTAGAATAGGAGTAAATTCCATGTATCAAACTATTGATACTACAGTCCATTTCAGTTTTTCTTCGTAACCTTAGATACATTTACTCTTAGGCAGAATCATTGTGAACTGTGAATAGATAGGTGAGAAAAATTCAAGTAGTGAAAGTGAAATTGAAGGCCAGCTTGTGAATACATGGGAGGATTTTGGGAATTTCAAAGCATTAATTGATTGTGAACCCTACGGAAGAGTAATAATGTTATTCTCACGAAAGATATACTTGTAAAAGTGAAGAAATAATAGTGATATTAACTGCCCAGATTATTCAGAACTTGAATTCGCAAAAAATAAATACAGTGTTCGACAGACTTTCTATAAACCATGGATCAAAATATGGATGTGGGGGGGAGAGTGAGGAAGGAGAGTTTAGATCCCAAAAATCATTAGCTAGAATGTGAGGGGGCTCAACGAAGTTGGGAAGATGTTAGGTGTTCGAAACATGTTAAGGAGATGGCGGACCGATCTTGTCTGTTTACATGAGATGAAGTTAGAGGTCATCTCGAGGGCTGTTGTGAGTTCTTTATGTGGGGACAGCATGTTTGGTATCAATTTCTTGGAGCTTCAGGGGCATCAGGAGGCGTGCTTGTCATGTGGGACACTAGATTGTTTGAAATGAAGGAGGTTAGTGTAGGGTTATTCTCTCTATCACTTTCATTTAGTAATGTTGGGGATAGATTTAATTGGATGTTTATTGGAATTTATGGGCCAAAATTAGATGTGCAGAGAAGGGGCCTTTGGGATGAACTGGTTGATATGATGGCTTGGTGGAACTTACCAGTGTGCATTGGGGATGATTTTAATGTGATCAGGTTTCCTTCTGAGAGGTCGAGTGGAGGGAGATTAACAGGGGCTATGGAAGATTTTTCTAATTTTATTAGTGAAAATATGTTGGTAGATTTGCCTATGATGGGGGAAGAGTTTACTTGGTCATCCAATCGAAATCAACCTGTTCATTCTCGGATAAATCGATTCCTGATTAG